GATTACAAAGGCCAGGTGGGTGATATGCATGAAGTATCCTTGGAGGGGGCTTTATGAGTTCAAAAAAGAGAGACTGCAGTTCATTATGTGAAGAGCATCTTAACTGTCAGCACATCGAATTAAGGGGCCAGTAGCAAAGAGGGCCTTCCTAGTTAACAGTCACAAATGTGAAGGGTCAGGGGTCTTTAATTCAGAGGAAAGACTCTAGCCATATAAACTGAGAGATTTAGTGCGTACCCAGCGATGGGTGCTGTGAATCGAGGGTCAACATCCTTCACTACATCTGCTTTTGATAAGCTCTGCTGAGTTAGTTATTTATGTCAAGAGTTCCTAGCCCCAAGCAAAGTGGGGTTGGCAGTGGGGTGACAGCAGGAGAGACAGTGAACAGAGAGAGGGGAGCGGCCCAGAGCTCACGGGGTCAGGAAGTTAATGCTCAAATACAGGGCTCCATCAATATCTGTGCAAAGGTTTTCCTGATTACACTTTCCCCAGCATAACGTATGAGTTGAAAATGATGATGGGTTTTAATGTCAGTGAAATAGGTCTGGGTATTAAATAAAGCAGAGCATTGCTCTACAATTGTAAAAAATATTTCTGAGTTTCAACAGAAAACTGTGTTTCATCTGCAACCTGTCCTTCTAGGTTATTAGATACTAGACCCGTTCACTGTCTTTGAGCTGTTTTGCAGCCCTTCGTAAGTTGTAGGTGATGGACAGATGTGAATTCTGTCCTGGGAGTGATAGTTGTCTTTGTCCTCTTTGCAGTTCATCTCGACATTCCTCTGGTCCACAGAAATATGTACTTTTTAAACCTTTCCTTTGGACTGGTTAAAAACATCGATCTGGTTCCCTCATCATATGAGTCAAATGAAATCTTAACACACATTCACTTTTATGTCTGTATGAGGGTCATGATTTTACCTTTTTATGAATATTAATCTTTTAACAGAAAATCTTTGCGTAGCCTGATGGCTTGTGAAAAAGTTCAGACACTCTCCTCTTCTCTGAGATTTGGTTACGCAGATCAGATCTCTGGAGACTTCTCCACTGGCACTTTTAAAACAAGACACAGCGGAAATATTTGTTTTTCTTTTTTGATACTGTTTTATACACTGTTGGATTTAATCATTTGAAATCACAGGACTGTGTATCTAAAGTACTTACTTATCTGTTTTACCAATTTTGCATCAAGATGCTGCTAGAAGTTGGTGGGGAGTGGGGGAGGCCAGTGGGAAAGAAAATGTCAGGAAAGAGAAAACAAGAGGTGCTTTTACCCCTAGTGTGAGCATTTCAGAGCAGGAAGGGCTCCCGGTCACATTTAATGGCAGAGTCAGACCTGGAACTCTTATCTCCTGGGTTGTAGGTCTGCTCTGCTCTTCAGAAAAGGAGAGGAGAGGTAGAAGCTTTTACTTTTAGAAGCCCCTCACTCAGACTCCCAGCCTGTTCAATGCGATGGCTATATTTGCAATGCCCTAATTTGAAGATGGAGGGCCCGTCGATGACAAAGGTGGATATAGCTGGTTCCCTTCCACCCGCCTTCTGTGTGTGTCATCTTGAGCAGGCAGAGAAGGAGGGGCTGCAACTCCAGAGAAGGGCCTGGATAGTCCCTTTATCCCTCGCAGTTTTTCTCCTGAGTTTCAGTGACTATGTCGTTGAGTAACTTCGGTTGAATCACAGAAGTCCCGGTCTCTCATATACACAATGAGGGGAGGGGAGCTGATCTCAAAGGCTTGTTTCTATTCTGACGTGGTAGGAAGCCGAGGTCAAGCCTTTTGGTCTGTTGAAGTGGGAAGCAACCTGCTGTTCATCATGGTTTTCTTTTGAACTGTACAGCTTCAGTTTGGTCATCAGCAAAGGGGAAGAGGGCACTTCTCAGCTTTGAGGGACGTACTCCTTCCACAGTAGTCTGCCTGGGACACTCCTTGGGAATTCCTTCCCACTTTGGGTGGATTGTCAATTCCAGGTCATTTGATTATATTTCTGTCTTGGTAACAGTCTTCTTCATGTGATGTTAGACACTGATGAAGAAATTTTGGTCAAACCAAGAACATATTCAAAGTTTGTGTATTTCATCAAAAATTGTTGAAACGTAACATCTTCCCTAAATATTCTGAAAGCTAACAAAATAATTCTGGTTATTAACCATGGATCTTATATATACCAGTGGGAAAAGTTAATATCAACTCAATTTCTTTTTCAATTTTGTCTCCAAATAGAATTCAAGCAAAGTAAAATATTAAACAAATCTCCCTTATATAAAATGTTCACGCTCCAACCAATCGATATAATGAAAATTAAGACTTAGTAATTCCACGTGCATCTGCTACCTTTCAAATTTTAAAAGACAACTGTGACAGCTGTTTTCATTTTTAGATGAAGCTCCAAGAGGTTAAGTGACTTAGCCAGTCTCACATCTGTTAATGAAAGAGCCAGAACTAAAACCCACTCTCCTGAGCCCTAATCCTTTCCTCTTTATATGTCACCATCTTACTTCCATTAGTCAGGAATGAAGGTTCCCTTTAATCATGAAACTCTCTTTCCCTTCTGAAAGATGTTAAAGGTATGTAATTTCTGAAAAAAAAAAGAAGAGGTAGATGATTCGTAATTTATTACTTAGATCAACTTCCATTTTAGAAAAGACAAAAACAAAGTATATAATCCATATTTATATCTTTTACAATGAAAAATATTTACACCACAGGTATTAAGTACAAAATAACACATAAAACTCTAGGACAACACAGATAGTAAGGACCACAATTTTGGCAGGATGTTTTCTGGCTCTTTTTTTTTTTTTCCCTTACAAGTTTAAGTGCATAAGGCTAACAGTAGCCTAATCATTTTGTTAATTTACTGGCAGTTACTGTTTCATCCTTTTAGTTTGATGGCCTCTCCAAAAGAGCCTTTGTTTAGTGTAATTAGTAACTAATCTTCCAACACCACTCTCTTGAGTTCACCTTTGAGCCTTAGGACACCTGTCCCATCACTGTGGTCCAGGCCGTTGGCTCTTGTGGGTTTTCAGGGGTAGAGCTTTCTACTTAAAAGAGTATTTATTTGCTGAAATCCTCCCCATCTGGGAGTAGCAAAGCTACAGTTCAAGGAATAGGCTCACTTGCTGAGCTGTGTTTTTTTGGTACAGAGTATTCCATTTGCAAAGAATGACCAGCTTGTACTTTATGGGGCCAAAGACCAGACAGGGCTGTCAGTTAGTGCACCACTGGCAGAACTGGGAGCAGGAGCTGGGCCTGCTGACCCCCACGGGGCTCTGCCCTGGTGTCACCTGGCTGGGATGGAGTTAGTTGCTCAGAAGGCCGGGTTTTGGCCTGCCTGGGTGTGACAAAGTGGGAGGCAAGAAGTTTCAAACAGATGTGGGTGTGGGTTAGCTGGGGGCTCTGTCCTCTACTTCAAAAAACACTTAAGAAGCCACTAGTGAAGCCATCTAGTCATAGGTCCTTGGG